AAGGGAAGGGAAGGGAAGGGAAGGGAAGGGAAGGACCACTCTCTGCAAACTTACTTGTTCTTTTCCCACATAAATTAACAGGAATCCTTGCTCTTGGCTTCTCTGATGATTTGCATTGCTCCACATTGATAAATGCCACCTTCTCACTGGAGGCACAAAGACTGAGGAATTTCTCAGGAGAGGCAGGACATTCTAAGAGCTGTTATACTGTCTCAGCACAATCATGAAATTCTCATTTGGCTGGAAGTCAGCTCTTGGAATGCTGCCTGTTATAGTCCTGGCACTACCTTCAGGGACATTATCCCTGATGTCCTGCTAGACTTAGAAAGCCCAGAAATAGTTGTAATGAGGCAACTGTCTGTTGATGGAAAGAAACAAAGCTAAGTCATATCATGAGACTTGAATTTAGATTTCTAGAAATATCAGTGCACATTGTTGTCCAGTCTTTTCAGTCATGTCCAACTCTTCATGGCCTCATTCAGGATTTTCTTGGTAAAGATACTGGAGTGATTTGCCATTTCCTTCTCCAGCTGATTTTACAGATGAGGAAACTGAGGCAAATAGGGTAAAGTGACTTGCCTAAGGTCACACAGCCAATAAGAGTCTGAGGCTAGATTTGAACTCAGGAAGATGAGTCTTCCCAACCTCAGGCCCAATACTCCATGCTCTGACCAACTAATTGTCCATTAATACATGTTAACAGATATAAATGATTATGATTCCTGAATCCAACTAATCTCTCCATTATATTTAAAATGACCTAAAATAAGATTGATTTGTCATTTATTTAGGAGGAAAATGTGAGTTCTCCATGGTTTTTATAATCATATGAATGAAATAACCGTGTGACTGTTGTCATGAACATACCATAACTAATATCATGGGTTTGATCTGTATATGGGTGGATTAGCTTCATACACAGAATCACTTTACTTCAAGTATTTCATGAATACACTTCAAATTTTGTACCAAATTTAGATTTAAATAATTTTCTTAAAATAATTCTGCCTTTAAAAATAACTAATCAAAATCAACAAATAAAATGACCCCATCTGATGGAGTATGTGACATTCTGCACCCATGATTCACCACCTTTTTAGTGGGAGAAAGATCATGCGTGCCAACATGGTTCATCTGGAAACACTATTGGCCATTGCATTTTATGTCGGTTCTCTTGGTTGTTATTGGCAGGTTCAGATACACTTATTAGGCCTTTGTATATGTTTCTGTCACTGTGCTTTCTTCATTCTTTGCCTGGCTACTGCTGTTCTACTCTCTAAATTGGACCACTGAATATCATGCTAAGAGGATTGAACCCATTTGGCCTGAACTCTTTGGATGATAGACCCTACCTTCACCCTGGCCGTGTCATAGATGTCTGTGCTTAACCTCCATGTCTACTGTGTTCCATACAAACCCAAGAGGGGTTGGAAACCCTCTGGATGATAAAGAAAGGAGCCAAAAATGCCTGAAGAGGCTGATCTTTATTCTATTCTAGGCTGCATCCAAATTCTCCTCTGGGATTTTCTCTACCATGTCTCAGAAAATTCCTCATCCTGGAAGTTCACTTCACCTCAAGATTTATCACATTGAAAGTACCCTCCACCCCTGTAGCCTTCTTATCAGATGGTTTCTCTAAGAATATTTATTTTAAGGTGGACACTTGGTCCACACTTGTCTTCTTTCCTCTCTAGGATGCCCTCTTGGTCCTCCATAGTTTCTCTTCTGTGCTCCTTCATAGGTTTCCCCTTCACCTCCTTCCATTTGCCTTCTCCCATTTTTGAGTTCCTTTTGTGTTGTCTTCTCCCATAGAATTGAAGGGGGATGAGACAGAGACTGTCTCTCTGCTTCTTTTTGTATTCCTAGTGCAGCTAGATGGCATAGTGGATAGAGCAGTGGGCCTAGACTCTGGAACACCTGAGTTCAAATTTGACCTCAAACACCTACTAACTGCATGATCCTGGACAAGTCACTTTTTTGTTTTAGGTTACTGTACTGTAAAGTGGGGTAAATCATAACTCTCACCTCTCAGGATTCTTGTGAGAACTAAAAGAGATAATATTTGTAAAACACTTAGCACAGTGCTTGGCACATAATAGTAGCTATAGAAATGTGTATACCTTTCACTTTCCCCCTCTTAATGTTTAGCACTTAGTATCTTATGTGGGTATATAAAGTATTCAAGAACTAGCACCTCTGGTGTGAGCATGGCCAAACCCTTTTCAGGGTTGCTCATTCATTTTTGCTGTCTACCTAGCACTCAACCCACACTGGTGGCTCCAAGAAGCTACAGCATGCATAGCAGCCACACCCCAGTAAACCCTCTTGGCAGAGGAGCTAAATCAGGTTGAGGGTAACAGATGGGCTGAAACCCATCAGTAAGTTACACAGAAGTGGGGGTAGTGTGTTTACACCAAGTATGTGAAGACTTCCCCCAGCAAAAAAGGTGGATGAGAACAATTTGTTCCAAAGGCTATGAAGGCAGCTGAAACTGGCACTGTAGAGTGCTTAGAGCTTGGACAGACGTCAAAGACACCAAGGTCATTCACTGCATCCTGGGCCATAACTGGTCATCTTGACTTTTGTCTTGCCACTGGACTTCAATGACTCTGGCTGAGTGAGGGTGATGATTTTATGCAACTGAGCCTCACAAATCCCATTCATGCACAAGTGGAAACATGACCCATGATGTCATTGGTCCTCTTCAAAAATGAAGGACAAACAATAACAAGTATCTGGCACATAGTAAAGGCTTAAGAAATGCTTATGGATGTGATTTGACTATTACTTTGATATGATGAAATTCAATACAGATAAATGTAATGCTTTATATTGGGTATAATAAAAGCAAACCACATGTAGGATGTATAGATAGATAGCAGCTGTTTTGAAGAAGCCCTGAAGATTTCTGCTAGCTCAGTATATGTCAGCAGTGTGATTTAGCAGTCATAAAAAGATGCATCAAGAAGACAGTAGCTTCCAGGGCAACAAAGGTGAGGGTCTCATTGTACACAGCCATCATCAGACCCGAATTGGAGCATTGGGCTCAGCTTTGGGCACTGTGTTTTAATGAGAATGATAAACTGCTCAGGGTTCAGAGGAAGGCAACCAAGAGGGTAAAGGGCCTTGAGTTCTCATGTAAGAATCAGTTGAAAGGCCTAGGCATATGCAGTCCAGAGTAGTGAGGACTCAGGAGTGGGGAATGGGTACATAAATAAATACTGTTCTAAAATATATACAAGATTGCCACGTGAGGGAGAGATTAGGCTGTGAACTGGGAGCAATGTATAAATCTCACAAAGGTTCATATTGTAACCATCATTCTTGCAGAATAAACTCCAGCAGACCTAAACATATGGAAATTTTAGCTTAAGAGAGAGAAAAAATTTTCTCTGATCTACTCAGCAGTAGTAGAGAGTAACCAGTTGTATGATATGATAAATTATAACGGTAGAGAAGCCTTTTTTATTATCCAGTTCCTCCAATTAGCCAAAACCAAAGACCTTGAAGTTCCTCTTTCATTCTTTCAGCTCATCATGATCATATCCATCCTTTGGGTAACTGGGTGATAGAAAGACATTGAACCTTCAAATTCAAGATAGCCATACCTGACTAGTTTTCCAACTGAACAGTCTCCTACATGTCCTCTTTCTGTTGATGGTGCCGTAATTTTCCCTGAAATATTGGCCACAAATAATAAGATAACTTTAATTGTTTTCCATTTGAATTTATTTTGATATTTTGGGCCAGAATTCATGATCTTATTTAGCAAGGCAAGATGTTACCATGTGTTACCATCATCTCTTTGTGGCATGATTCAGTCAACTTTTTCAGTGTAAAGTGATTTGCAGAGTCATATTTCTATCAGGGCCAGTATTGAATCATTTTTAGGCAATTAGGGTTAAGTGACTTGTCCAGGGTTACATAGCTACCAAGTGGGTGAAGACAGATAGGAACTCAGATCTTCCTAATTCCAGGGCCAGTACCCTATCCCCTGCACCATGTAGCTGCCCCTAGTATTAAATCTTTCTTCCCTGTACCTCCATGTCTTTTTAAGTTTCTCCAATTGGGATTTTAACAGTGCCAAATGATTCCTCTAGCTCTGCTCCACAATGCTTGTGTGTTGAGATCATTGCCATTTCTCCTTATGTTAAATTGTAGGACCAGTTAGACATTTTATCTTCTTTGCTTTCACTATATTCCTTTCCCTTATTCTTAATTTCTATTTTAGAACTCATAGCCACATCTTTATCTGTATCTTTTTCATTTTCCAGTCTTTAGGGAGATAGCACACATAATGGAAGGAGCAGTATATTTGGAGTCAGAGAAATTGGGTGGAATATAGGTTGGATGAGATCACGTAAGTCATGCCATGCCTCCCCGCATTCTCTTATTCATTCTTTTTTAAAAAAAAGAATTCAGAATTTCAACACTAAAAGAGAACATCTCCATATAAAAAGTAGATGTTGCTGTTGCTAAGTTGTTTCAGTCATGTCTGACTCTTCCTGACCCAAGGTGTGGTTTCCTTAGCAAAGAAACTGGAATGTGTTGCCATTTAGAAGGTATATGCAATGTCAAGCTCTATTCCATATTAAATAAAAATAAGATATTCAGAATGTTACTTATCACAAACAAAATGATATTATAATGGGATTTTTCATTTATGGATGAATTAATTAGATTCAATAACATTAGGAAAGAATTATAATAACTTTATGCTTTATTCCTTAACAAAAGCATTCTCTTCATTACTACTCTTGCAGCCTCTTTTATCCGCTTATTCCATAGACTGTATATAATGGGGTTCAGAAAGGGAGGTATTATGGAATAAAATGTTGAAAGGATTATATCTTTAAGGGACTCAGATTCTGCAGGTGGTAGCAGATAGACACAATAACCTGAAATAAGGAACAAAGAAACCACAACGATGCAAGGGACACAAGTAGAGAAGGCTTTTCTTTGGTCTTCTTTCACTGGAAATCTGAGCACAGTGGAAAATATGCTAATGTAGGATGCAATGATGAAGGCAAAGCAGCCAAGCCCAACCACCACAGCAGAGCCAAGTAAGGATAATGTATTGCTGAATGTCTCTGAGCAAGAGATCTTGAGTAGAGAGGGGAAATCACAAAAGAACTGGTGGATCACATTGGATTGGCAGAAAGACAATCGAAAGGTGTAACCAGTATGGAAACCTGCATATAAAAGGCCAGTGAACAAGCATGTTAAAGTCATCTGCATGCAGACCCGGGGACTCATGATCTACAATCTTTCATCCTACCATTGCCCTTCACACACCCTCCAACTGACTGAAAGGAGAAATTACAAGTGAATGGTGGGGATGAATACAACAATATATTTGTCCTGCCAGGGACAGGAGGATATGGTGAAGTCTTCTGACCTGGCCTGCTATTCTCTCTGCTCCTCTGAATAGTCACATTTCTTCTAATTTTCACCATAGCTGGTCATTGGCTCTCCAGATCTTATCACTTCAATTTTCTTCCATTAAGAGGAGTCAGGCAAGCAAAATGAATGGCTATCACCTCCAGCTCTAGTCTTGTCTCATATGGAATGGCATCCAAAGAAGCAAACAGTCCTAATACAACAACTTTTTTTTTCCTCTTATGTTTACTATTTCCCTAAAGAAATCTCTCAAGATTAAGGATCCAGGACTTTGGGACATTTGGTAGGTAGGTATTTCTTGGCCATTAATTCTCTATGATAAGATCTTTAAAGGAATAGCAAACAGGTCCTGACATTATATACGGCATATAGGAGGTACATTTTGTTGTCATATGGCAGCTACATTTTGGTTATGTTGAATACATACATACATACCTATATAGGTATATGTGATCACATATATGTATATATCATTTTTAATTTTCATTTGTTAGTTCTATACCATTTTACGCTTCCTCCCCCACCCATTGAGGTAACAAAAATAAAACCTATTATACATATGTATAGTCACTTAAAGCAAATTTTCACATTAGCTATCAAAGAAAGAAAGAGAAAAGAGGAAGAAAGAAGGAAAAGAGGAAGAGAAGGAAGAGAGAAGAGAGGGAAAATGAAGGAAGGAAGGAAGGAAGGGGTGGAGGAAAGGGAAGGAAGGGGCTAGGGAGGGAGGAGATGAAGGAAGGAAGGAGGGAAAAAAGATGAAAGAAAACAAAAGAAAATATGTTTCAATCTGCACCCTGAGTCCATTACCTCTCTATCTGGAAGAAGATGTTTCATGTTTCATGAAGAGTCCTTTGGAATTGTGGTTTGTCATTATGTTAATTAGAAATAATGTCTTTCAAAGCTGATTATCATTAAAATGTTATTATATGTTATTCTCTTATTTCTGCTTACTTCACTTTGCATTATTTTACACAGATTTTCTCAAATTCTTCTGAAATTATCCCCTTCATCTCAAAGTTGCATATCATAATTTGTTTAGCCATTCTCCAGTTGAAGCTCATCACCTCAGTTTCCAATTATTTGCCACCAAAGAGAGTATCTATAAATATCTTTATACATATGGTTCCTTTCCCTCTTTCTCTAATTTCTTTGGAATAAGTGGTATCACTGGATCAAAAGATATTATTCACAATTCAATTACTTGTTGGGCATTGTTCCAAATTGCTTTTCATAGTGACTGGACCAGTTCAAAACTCCACCAACAGTGGTCCTTTTGTTTTAACTCCAAAGGATGATACTTTTTTATTTAAAAAAATCTATTTTACAAGGTGAATGCTCATGAGGCTGATAGTGAGGAAAATTTTAATCAATCAATTTGATATAAAAAGTAGAAAAGACACCAATTAAGCATAAAATGATGCACAAGAAACCTCAGGTACAAATTTTCCAAGTTTATAGCATCAAGGTACCACAACATAGAGACAAAAGCTCCTGCAAGCCCAGCACAGAACTACTTTCTCTCATATTTGCCATATGAGAGAACCTAAAACTGAGTCTCTTCAAACTATTGGTACTTTCATTGAGCAAAGGACGTTTTCAGCCCTATATCTGAGGCTATCATTGGTAATACTAAGAAGCTACTATGAAAAACTATGGGGACTCCTGCTTCCTATATGACCATGTTGCCAAGTAGAGCTTAATTTTATATGTAATGTATTAATCTTTTAAAAGAATGGATACTAAAGAATGGATTTTGTTAAAAAATTTTTGTATGTACTAGACCACTTGTTGCAGGTCCAATTGAGTATGTGGTGAAATCTATGGCTGGGCAGAGTCAGGGGGAGCTCTAATATCAGCAACCTGGCAACCAGTTAAATGAGTGTGAAAGAGGAGGTAGTTTTAGAAATAGAAATAGGATAAAAAAATAAAATTCACAAATATTTAAAGTAGTTTAGAGAGATGGAAGCCCTCTGGACTTGAAGGTAGAAGACATTACTTTCAAGAAACACAGAACAAAGGTTCTGGGTTTCTCTTAACTCCTCTGCATTTCAAGTTTTGTATTCAGTTCTTTCTGAAAGTTGGACATCTCTCTGCTCAGTATTTTCTTGCACTTAAAGTAGCGAACTTTGAAAATGTTGGCAGCTACAGATGAGCATCATCTTCCTTTCACTTACTGCTCTTTAGTCTTGCTGGCATAAGTAGTATCTACCAGGGGTGACTGAACCAAATGTTTGTACCATGGTGACTACATGGTTAAATGAGAGAATATTTTTTAACTATTTATGGGGCATGACACTGGCTTTGAAATTAGCAGACCTGGGTTCACACTTGAATTAAGCCATTTCCAATTGTGCACCCTTAAACAAGTCACTTTTTCTAACTGTGCATTTTTTTCATCTCTAAATGAAATCATTAGACTGGATGACCTCTACTACCCATTCCAGTTCTACACCTTTGATACAAACCTACACACCTTCCCAGTCACATGTATATGAACTGTCCCTCTGTATCCCCACTGAATTGAGATTTTTGGCTGACTTTGGTTGTTCTATAGACTGAATCACTTTTAATTCTAACCATGGTTCCACTTATATTTTCTTTTCCTAAGATGTAACTTCCCTTTACCTAGAAGGAATGAAATTAGAGAAGTGTTTGAAAAGGGGGATATAGAGATGGATACAGAATGGAAGAAGGAAGAAAGAAAGAAGGATGGGAAGAAATAAAGAAAGAAAGGAAGGAAAGAAGGAAGGAAGGAAGGAAGGAAGGAAAAAAGGAATAAAGGAAGGAAGGAAGAGAAAGAAGGAAGGAAGGAAGAAATAAAAAAGGAAGAAAGAAGGAGGAAAGAAGAAAAAAGAGAGGAAGAATAAAGAAAAAGAGAGAGGAAAGAAAAAAGATGGAAGAGAAAGAAAGAGAGTGAGAGTGAAAGAAAGGAGGGAGGGAGGAAGAAAGAAAGAAAAAAGAAAGGAATGAAGTGAAACAATAAAGGGAGGGAAGGAGGAAGAAAGGAAAAAAGAAAAAAGGAAGGGAGAGAAAGAAACAAAGAAAAGAGAGGGCAGGGGAGGGAGAAAGAAACAAAGAAAGAAAAGAAAAGAAAAGAAAGAAAGAAAAAAGTAGAAGGAAGGAAGGAGAAAACAAATAAAAGGGGATAATGGGACAAAGCATTCCATTCAAACTTATTGTATCTTACCTGAATAAGGCAACAAGTTTCCTTGTTGTTAGCTTCTCCAATCTGAACTGCTCAAAGATGTTATTACTGAGTCCCTATACTATGGAAAATATCTCCAGAATTTTTCCAGCTCAGGATGGACTGGTAGAAAATTATGAAGTTTCCCTTGGCATCTGGCCATCATAATTCTGTTCTCCTTGCTTGGAAAGCATGTGTTCCCTCAATTTTCCCCATTATATTTGTAGATTAATTTGGACAGCATGTTTGATAGGATGGCCCCATAGGCCAATTTCATCTTTGCTAGCTATTCTTTGCATCTCCTTGGGGACAGTGTCCCTGCTCTTCAACTAAATACAGACAGGCAGAGATCACTGCACTGAGATAATTGTTTCAGGGTAGCAAAAGAAAAGGTGCCAAATAAAGTCCCCTCAAGAGTACTGGGATGGAATTTAAGAACTATTAATTAGGGGCAGCTTGGTGGTACCATGGAGAGAGCACCAGTCCTGAAGTAAGGAGGACCTGAGTTCAAATCTGGTTTCAGACATATAACACTCATTAGCCATATGACTCTGGACAAGTCACTTAACCCCAATTGCCTCACCACCCAGCAAAACAGAAAAAAATATTAATTAATGTGCATGTGTGTGAGTATGTATTATGACTGTAGGATTCATTATCTCTCAAGTTCTCTCAAAAGAATCAAATAATCATCCTTCACGCATTCTTGGAAAGGCAGAAGAGGAGAGATCCAAGTGTCCTGAGAAGTGTTTGGCTTGTTAGCTCAGTTGATACAGATGTACTGTGGCTGTAATTATCGCTTTGACTGACATGTAGGCAAGAGAGCTTCACAAATTTTGTGCAAAATGTTTTAAAACATATTTTACTTTTTATATCACATTCAGTTCCAAAAAATCCCTCATCACATTTTTGCCTTTCTTTCCAAGAGATAAACTAGTTAAGGAAGCCTACCAATAAAGCAATGACATCTGACAGATTAGAAAGCATTTGAAAGCCACAGCTCCCCATCCTTTTACCAAAAGGAAAGTGGTGTGTTTGTACCTCTGGTGTGAAGGCTTCCAAGTCCTTTTCAGGTCTGCTTTCTACCTTTGGTGTCCACCTGATCCACCTAACTCTCACTTGTGAATCCAAGAAGCTGTACCATGCACAGTGGCCATACCCTGGTACAGAGATCTACAGTTGATTACACTCTCTATGCTCTTCTTTGTACATGAAAATGTTCTTTTTTTAACCTTTTCTCCATACACATGGCCATTTATATAGTTCACTCTCTCCACAAAACTTCTGGCTTATTTTAATGCTCTCTTAATTGATTTTCAGGACTTAGGGCTTCCCTCCTCAAGCATCCATCCTTCATTTATCACACAATTGCCAAATTACTATACGTAAGGAACATGCCTTACCATGTCACTCTCCTACTCGGAAAGCTCTAAAACTCCCTGTTGCCTCTGGGATTAAATGCAAACTACAATATTTAGAAATTAATGTCTTTCACAGTACAGCTCTCATCTCTGTTTCAAGACTAGGTGTGAAAAAGTAAGTGGAAGAACATCAAAATAATCAGAAGAGCAATAAAATAATTAAAAGTTTAAAAAGAAATAAGGATAGATGTTAGAAAATAAGTGGTGGATTCAGAGAAAAAATAAAAAGGCAAATAATACAGCATTTTGGA